ACAGGCAAGGACAGAAGCCGGCGAGGGCTTCCAGTCCCTTGACATCACTTGATAACTAACCAGGCGCAGCCCTCCCTCTACCTCCCTGCAGGGAAAGTATCCCCCGCCCTGGGTCTCCAGTAGAAGGAAAGGGGGCGGGGCAGAGGCGGGTGGTCGTCCTCTGGGCCTTGTTAACCCTGGGGAGAAAGCCTGGGTGGCGAATCCTGAAGTCTGGCCGTCTCGCCCCTTCCCTCCACCCCTCCTCTGGCTTTGCAGAGAAATTCGGGCGGGGAGCAGGACGGGGGCAGAGATGCTTCCGAAGGGGAGGGGCGTCGGCGGATGCCCGGGTCTCGAGTGACCCAGACCCGCGAGTTCCGACGCTTCTCGCGTGGCAGGCTTGCCAATGCAAGTTCCCGCATCCACTTCCCCTTCCTATTACGGACTGCTCCCGAACATCAACTTCGCGACGAATCCGTCCCCCTGTCGTGTTTCAGTCTCCAGCACGCGGGGTGGGGCGCGAGAGGGTGCGGAGGTTGGCAAGAATGTCTCTGGGAGGCTTGGACTGGAAACTGAGTTTTCCCTTTTGGTCGCTACTCCGACCATGTGTTAAAACTTTATTTTTGCTGGGTAAAAAGCACTCCGCTTAGCATGCGGGGAAACGCACGTTGCCTTCTGTGCGCGTTTTCTTTGAGTGTAGACAGGTTTAGAGAAAAACCAAGAGCCGGTGTTTTCTGACTTTTGAAGTCAAAACTGGTCACTGGTGGGGGGGGGCGGGGGCAGGGGAGAGAAAAATAGAGAAAGTTGGTTCTTCTTCATCCCCTTTTCGCCCTTCAAGGAAAAGAAAATATCCTGTCCTTTGTGGGATCAGTGATAAACTTGAGCGAACGCAAGTTTTATTGGACTTTTATTCCCTCCCTTGCCGGTTCCCCACCCCCTACTCCTCGAGTTTTTGAGTTTCGGTTGGAAAGTGAACAAAACCCTGTAGGTGCAGGGTGAAGCCGGGTGTTGGGTGTTGATAGGCACATTTTTGCAGGAACCGGCAACCCTAAGCACACATGCTCCCAAGTTCATCTAACAGATGCCCACCAACCAGGTCATCCCGCCGTCGGCTCTAAGCCTCCGAGCCGCACGAGTTCGAGCCCCGCTGCCTCCGCGTCCCGGCACTCACGCCGGGTTGGGGGAGGGGAGTGAGTTCAGGCTCAGGAATGGGGGCTATGCCCTCCCCCTACTTCCCCCAAAGAGTAGAACTGTGTGTGTTTCTCCACTGAGCGATGAATGGTCAGACAACCGAAAACCCGACGGTTACTTAAAAGTAGATGGTGAAGTGTCCCAGTTCTTGGCTCCGAGCTCCCGGAATACTGGGAAGGAACAGCAGGAGGTACAGAAAGAGGAATGGGGGTGGGGGCAATAGGGAGGGAGTAAGAGCAAACTAGAAAAACGTGCGAAAGGAAGAGGGAAAGGTCGGCAACTGGAGAGCATAAGGGGAGGTGGGCGGGTAGGAACGAGATGACAGGAATCTCCACGGAGCTCGGGCAGTGCGATTCCAGGTGTGAATACGCTTCCGGGGCCCTCTCGCCGCCGCCCCCCCGCGCGTCACGTCCTCGGGGCGCTGGGGATCCAGAGGGGGGCACAGTCGGGCCTGGCCTGTGCAAACTGCCCTTGCGGAGCGCTGCAGCTTGGACCGGGACTGCGTGCCTGGGGCAGCAGATGCGATAGGCGTGGGTTAGGAAGAATTGCGCCTGCCGTCTGTTCACCCACCTAGCATCTTATGCCCCTCCCTTGGAAAAAAAAATTAAAAGTAAAAAGACCCGAACTTCCCCCTCTTCCTGTCTGATTCAGCTGCAGGACACGCCTCACACAGCCGAAAATAGCTCTGGAAATGCATTAGCTTTATAAAAGTTAATTTTCCAATGCAATTTGGGGCGGGGGGCGTTTGGCTCGCGGCGCCGGCGGGGCCCTGCCTTCTGGGAGAAAAAGGAATGGGCCTTCTCGGTCGCTCGCCCTCCCCCAGGCGCCCCTGGAGGGGGCCGCTGGGCGGCGGAATCGCGCCTCCGCTCGGGGAGCCACCACGCGGCTTTTTCGCGGAATTTTGACGTCATCCACACGTGGGGGAAGGGGCTGGGAGAGCGAGAGGAAGCGGCGGGGGAG